GGAAAAAGAAAGGAAGAAAGGAAGGAGATGGAGAAAGGGAGGGGGAGAAAAAATTTAAAAAAGAAATAGGAAGGAGACAAGATAGACAAATGTCCCGCGCTACCGTCTCGCCAGCAAGAACGACACGGGGCACTTAGGATCCTTCTGCAGCAAAGCTTTAATGCGTCTTGAGAGGGAGAGCATAAGCTCACATGGCGGAGACCCAGAATGAGGGGAACCCAGCCCTTATAAAGGAAACAGTCCTCGCTTCTGACGTGTCACTCTTGGATTGGTCCACTGCCCATTATCCCAGATGATGCCTTGGAAGTAGGCAGGGACGCAGCAGTAGAGAGTTACCAAGCACATGCGCTGGGATTAAAGGCGTGTGCTACAACACCTTGAACTCACAGAGATCTGCCTGTCTCTGCCTCCCAGGCATTGGGACCAAAGGCGTGTACTACCACACCTTGAGGTCACAGAGGTCAATCTGTCTCTGCCTCCCAGGCATCAGGACTAAAGGCGTGTACCACCACACCTTGAGGTCACAGAGGTCAATCTCTACCTTTGTCCCTTGAAGCAATGGAGAATGTGGTTGCGGCCCTCCACAGACAAATATGTCAAGTGCCCGTGGTGTGTCATAGCCGAATAGATGCATTTTAAATACTTTCATTTTGGATGGTTTCGTCTATCTATCAAAGCACCTGCAATAACCCTATGGCTTCATTCTTTCCTTCCCACTTTGCTGATGAGAACCTGATACTCAGAAACAGTATGAGCCCAGGGACTAGGCTACAGCTTAAGCTGCCGTTCTTTACACTGCACTGTGGCTCATACCAATACAGTTGTGTTGAGTGTGGCTCTGAGTAACACCACAGAAACCCTGCCAGAAGAGGCTCGGACTCTCTGCAAAGCTTCTAGGAAGCTAGCCTGTGTCACCTTGCTCAGAAACCCGCTCTACTGGCGGACAAGGAGAAAGGAGTGGAAGACAAACCACATAACCCACGGCTTCCAATTTTGCTGTCAGTTCTTTGCACATCGACTGTCTCCTGGCTCTTAATCTGAAAGTCATTGAGGAAAAATCGAACTGAGGGGAAATGCTTTGTGAAGACAGGTGTGCGGTCAGGCTTCGGGTTTCTTCCACATCCATCAACCCTTTTCATTCACTGCAGTCCGCATACTCTGCAGTGATACACGGAGCAAGCAACAGGCGGTGCTTTCCAAGGAAATGACTGCAAATAACGGATGGCTAGAGCGAACGGAAACAATGGCTGGGGTCCCATTATGATGCCAAACTACAAAGTTGATGACATGCAGAACAACAGCAAACTCAACCTCACATTGACTGACTACTCCAGCTTTCAAGATGGTGTCGAACTCTCTGCAGTCCAGAGACTGAAAGGAATCTTTCTGTATGTTGGAGACATTTAAATGAAGTAGTGCCGTCTCCTCAATAGTGTCTGTCCAATCATTAGACCATTAATTCTTGGGATAACTTTTCTCCTCATGAAAAATTTCTTTGTCTACTGCCTAATCTACCCATCACAATCAGCACGTGAGTAGGTGTGGTCATGCGTCTGGGTGTTCAGGTGGGTGCACGTGTGTATATTGTTTGAGATCAGAAGTCAACTGTGGGTGTCATTCCTCAAGCATCATCTACCTTGCTTTTCTGACACCGCATCTATTACTGGCCTGGAGCTCACCGAGAAGGTTAGGCTGGTGGTCAAGCAAGCCCCAGGAATACTCTTGTCCTGCCTTCCTGGCTCTGGGATTACAAGCACATATCCATTTCTGCCTCCTGGTAACAACTGGTTGCTCCTTTACACCAGTAAATATCAAATAATTATCAAAAAAAACTGTGATGAATCTGTGAATGCTTGGTGGCCATCACTGAGATCCAGAAGCCTGCAGTGAGAAGTCTTCAGAGGCTGAACTGAAGAGCCAAAGATCATGATGGCAAGTACTTGGAGCCATGTGTGGCAGTAGAATGCAATCAACATCTAAAAAGGCCACCTACCTGTCTTTCCTTCCATTCCTTTCTTTCTTTTCCTTCTTTTTTTCAACATGTTCTAGTTCCCAGCCAATTTTTAATGAAATACAATCATTTTTAATGAAATGAAACTGTCTTGGTTCCTTAGGTTTGTCTCGCTTGGTAGAAGCTGTGAAAGGGTCAGGTCTGGCTGCCTGACTGGATCAAAGAGCCACGCCAAAGAAGTAGGTGATAAGAGCCAATCGTCAGCCACTGTTAGTAACTGAAACTTGCTGCCTTCCATCTTGTTGTATTAGTTACATTTTCCTATGGCTGTAATAAAATGCCATGCCCATTGCAAATTACAAAAGAATACATCAGTTTGGGTTTACGCTTCCAGGTTAGAGTCCATGATAGTGGAGCAAAGACCAGGCAGGCTGCAGGAACAGCTGAGAGCTCACATCTTGATCCACAAGCAGGAGACAGAGAACACAATGGGAATGGCATGAGCCTTTAGAAATCTCAAGCTTGCCTCCAGTGACACCTCTTCCAACAAGGCTACACCCCCTAATTAAACAGTTCCACCAACTGGGGACTTCGGGGAGCCACTATCACCCAGACCACCAGACCTGCCCAGGTCCCTCGTGTCTCTCTCTTATCAGCTGCCTGGTTCTACAAGTAGACACTGTGTGTCATGTGACTGTCTGTCCCCTTTGGCCAAGTGAGATTGCAGGTGGTGCTAGGCAAAGCTGGTGTCTTTTTCTGCCTTGCCTACGTTTGAAGATCTACCTCAGGGGATAGCCTTTGGCCTGGCTTCTACTTCCTTTCCGTTAGAAGGCCTTCCCACTCTGTACCCCTCAATGCCAAGCACCCAACCTTGTGCTCCCCACCCCTGCTGAATACAGAAGAAAGCTTAGGTAGGAGGGGGAGGCCCACATGGCCATGTGTTCTGATAGACTATCAGCTCCAGCTGTAGCGCGAGTCCCCCCAGTTCTCCCCCGCACCCACATACACTTATTGATCTTACTTATGTGCCTTGGCCCCCAGCTCTATACTCCTTCACTAAGACCCCTTGGGGCTTCATGTCTGCCTTTGGTGATGTGTAGCATAGGAGTTGAGAGTAAGGCCGGTAGAGTGACCATGAATCTGGTTCCTTAACTGGGCCCTCAAGGAACCTTGTCTGAAATTCTCTGGTAGAGGTCTGTCCACTGATATGGGTTTATTTGCTCTGAGCCTAGCCTTCTTAGTAGCGTGGAGTTCTCTGGACACCCTGGGGAAAGTTTGTGCTGCCCCCATACTGCTGTTAAGATCGGAAGTTGTTTTCACTGCAGTTCTGCAGGCTCCAGCAGAGGATTCATAGGTTATCCACTAAAGCCTGCGGGTGTGACCTAGCATCTGTTGTGGCTCTTTTCTAGCAGATGCTTGTTAAATGTACACATATACAAACATGCCCTGGACTGCCAGACAGTCTTCCTTGAAGATGTTGACTATACCAGCACAGAATATAAAAATAAAATTAGTTAAGAATAGTGGCAATGATCATGTTGGCCAGCTTCAGCCCTAAGCCACATAAGCCTATACAGAGCATTATCAGTCCAACAGTTCTCTCTTCAGAGAAGAAAGCTAACATCAGGCACCCTCAGGGCTTGCCTATCTCCCACCCCCAATCTAGAAAAATTGAGGCACTTTAGAAAGGACACAGAGCAGAGTGGGGGGGAGAGTGGCATTTGGAGACCAGCGCTGATGTCAGCTTCTTACATTACAGTTTAAGGTGATCTCTACCCACTCCCTTTTGAGATAGTCACACTATGTGGCCACAGTGAGTTAGAACTCCTGAGTCTCTTAAGCCTGAAACCCTTCCCCCGGGATAGACTTCCTGAAGAAAGGACACACACACCTCCTAGACCTCCCTAAACAATGCTACCAAGTAGGGACTAAGTATTCAAATGCCAACGCCTATGGTGGGGACATTCTTATTCAAACCACCGCAATTATCATCTTTTTACAGAGAAAATTAAAATGGCCCAGTGGCTCACTGCACCAATTTCCCTTGGACCTCCAGCTAATCGCCCTTTGAACTAAAGAACATAGACATGATACGCACTGGTTTTAGGGAGTGAGGGGACACTTGCCTCCCTCAGTTTGGTTTAGCCGCCTGAAGTTCCCCCAAGTCCTTTTGAACTAGATTGTTCTTGAACTACATGTATTTTTTCAACGTTGAGAGAATTGGAGTCGCTACTCCAAAGGAAAGCAAGATTAATTCTGGCTGAAAGAACAAACCTAGCGGGATGGAAGGAGAAGATGAGAGATGTAAGCTGCCACTCTCGGCACACACAGACCTTCCCTGGACACTCTCCAAAGGCTCTGACAGATTCTGTGGGACAGCCAGTCCCCCCCCCCCCCCCCGCGGCGTAGGCCTGGAGACAAATCACAGAGCAACAGAGGCCTTGTTCTTGGGAGCAGTGGTTTTTGTTTATTTTTTTATTTTTTGAAAGTGCTCTGAATTAAGAAGTTTTTGTAATTCTCGAGAGTATTTGGTGTCTGTAAATCTGAGTAAGAAATTCCTTTTCTTAGAAATCTTCTGAGCCTCGGTTCCTGACAGAGGTCCATGTCAGTCTGGCTGCCCCCAGGGAGGATTATAGGGAATTCACCTCACATCAATGCTTGGACCATTATTTTAGCAGACTCTAACACCAGGCCTGCAAAGGAAGCAGCAGTCTGATGCTACCCTCAGTCAGTGGTTTAACATATGTTTGATATGTGTATATTATCTGTCAAGCTATGTAGTTTTTGCTGGGGATAACACAGTGAATTATCTAGATGTGTCCCTAGCTCCCTTGGGGCTCATGTTTCTTAGGAAAGGGAGATGAAAGAGAAAATAATTTCCAGGAGAGATAGAAATTTTAAGAGAGACCTGCGTTAGAAAGGAGGCAGGTCCAGCGGCAGCTATCTCTCTCCTGGGTAGCCCCAGTTCGTTCTTCCGGCCTCTCCAGCCTCTATTTCTCACCAAGTTTCACCTTCCCTCCCTGTTGCTATCTCTGGTTCCCGCGCATGCTCTCTCACAAGCTGCGCAGGCCAACGGCAGCACTCTCTGCCTTGCGGTCTCCTCCCTCCTACTGGCTTTGCCAGCCCTCCTGCCCCCGCCATGGGAAACGAGGCCAGTTATCATTCCGAGATGGGCAACAACTTCGACCAGGATGAAATTAAAAAGCTGTGGAAAAGCTTCAGGAAGATGGACTTGGACAAATCGGGTTCCCTGAGCACAGAAGAGTTTATGTCGCTGCCTGAGCTGCAGCAGAACCCACTGGTGAGTCGAGTTATCGACATCTTCGACACGGACGGCAACGGGGAAGTGGACTTCCACGAGTTCATCATGGGCACCTCGCAGTTCAGCGTCAAGGGCGACGAAGAGCAGAAGCTAAGGTTCGCCTTCCGTATCTATGACATAGACAAAGATGGCTACATCTCCAACGGGGAGCTCTTCCAGGTGCTGAAGATGATGGTGGGTAACAACCTCAAGGACTGGCAGCTGCAGCAGCTGGTGGACAAAACCATCATGGTCCATGATCAGGACGGCGATGGCCGGATCTCCTTTCAGGAGTTCTGTGACGTGGTCAGAAGTATGGAGATACACAAGAAGTTGGTCGTGTTTGTGTGAGTTTTGTGGGGTTTTTTTTTTTTTTTTCAATTGTCCGGTTTGGTTTGGTTACTTAACGGGCTCCATTAAGCATGTTTAGCATTCTTTTTCAAGATCTCTTCAAGATATCTAGCTACTGTCTCTCTGGCTAACCCGGAAGTGTTTCTCTCTGCCTCTACCACCCATGCAGTGTTATTAATTCAACTCTTGATGACTACCGACAAAGGGGGAGCAGGGAGAAAAATCGGAAATTCAAATGATTCTCATAAGTGCTTTTTTCTTTGTTTTAGAGAACACGGTCAAGAAGACTAAAAGCTTAAACGTAAGAAAATGTACATCTTTGCCTTTCTCCCTCAAGGCTGTGTATATGGGAGAAGACTGCGACTTTCGTGGCGTCTTAGGAACACTTTCCATTTACTTGTGGCATTCAGACTTTTGACAAATTGTTAACTTCCTGTTGTAACCAGCAAAAAATATATATATTTATCTTTGCTTAGCATCCTTTAGTCACTCTCTGGGCACAAACACCTCCCTAACAGGATGCATCTGACTCTCCACGGTCACTCAGAAATCCCTGAGCATGTTTGAGGGCTAGGCGTCTGAATGGGAAGATTCCGTCTAAGTGCTTCAGCCTGCCAGAAAGCAGCCTAGAGTTCACGAGAGAACAGCTAAACCTGAACCAAATGGCCAGCCCACCAACCTCAGAACGACAGATTTTCAACCTTGTAGGTTAAAAAAAAAAAAAAAAAAAAAGAAGCAGGAATCTGGTCAGATAAGGCAACATCCTCCCCAGCAAGAACCCTTTCATGCCACCTCACCCAGTTGAGGAGAATGAGCCAGAGCCCATTTTCCTCCAGGGCAGAATCGGCAGATTCAGGCTGAGGTGACCTTTCCCAGGATGCTGAAATGTTTTTGTTCTGTGTGAGGAGAAATGCAGAGATTGGCAAACATAATGAAAGCTTGCAACACTGGATTGCCTTGCTTTTGAGAATTCGATCTGGTTCCTGCCAGAGAATCCAAAGCTGTCATATCTCAGGAAGGTTTCCTCCACTGTCACATTCAACTCAGAGCTCCCCATGCCTGAGTACTTAGACTAGGATCCAAGGATGTGCTGACACTTGATTCTAGACAAGATCTAATAATGTTATGCGCCTTTCTCTGCAGTTCACATAGGTCCTGTTGGTGGCCTGAGATCAGCAATGGTAGATAGTACCTCATGGAAAAGAACAAGCCCTGTTCTGTTTTGGAGTTGGTTTAATACTACTGTTTGTCCCTATAAATGTCACTAGCTCCCTGAAACCCCTTATACTATTGTCATTTCATAGAGTACAAGGTGTCCTTGGAAGGGCAGGTGTAGCCTATATCCCAGCATCTGCCACTTCACAGATTGCTCCCCATAATGAGCTGCCTGATACTCAGAATACCATAACAATGAAATAAACTCTCACTGCACTTACTCAGTTGAGAGACACCCCTTAACCATTTTAGATTTACTGTTACGTTTTAAAGAAGTTGCCAATTAGTCTCAGGAGGTAGGGATCCACAGATTTCATTACTGGCATACTGCAACACTTTTCATATTATTCTTGGGAACCACAGGGTCAGGAATTGCTCACTCTATAACTCCTTTTCCATCATAAAATATATGTTTGGGTTATGCAAATAATGCCATCCCTGTAGCATTGGAGTCAAACCCATTTCACAGTAGTTAAGAGAGTTTGAGACCCAAACACCCCAGGGTATGGATTCAGTTAGAACAGTGTCGCCATGACTGCTTATTAACTGGGTGAAGACAAGTTAGCTTCTGGGTCTTTCCATCTACATTAACCCTGAAGGTTCAAAGAGAGGTAGCCTGTAAAGCGCTCACTCGGCTAACTTCCCTCCCATCCCCTCCCTCCCTGCCTGTAAGATCCATGTAGAAGAGAGACTGGAACCTTTGTATCCTCAAGTCTTGACACCTAGCCACAACCGCGCTAAACCTAGCTGGACATCCATGTAATTTTGGCCCAGAAAGGAAACAATAGGAACAGATGCCAAGGCCCTGCTCGCTACGCTTGTGCAGATCACGCCACAGACTTTCCAACTTGAGGTCTAGAAAACACTTCAAAGAGTCTTTCATCCTAGCCTGACATATTTGATTTTGAGAGGAAATTTGAGTAAGAATAGTGAGCATAACCCAAGCAGACCTTCTGATGACAGATGTTATCACTCTGGAAATGCACAGTTTCAAATAGACAAAAAAATTGGAATTATGGCTGAGGATTTTATTCAGTTAACTGTTCATATTTAACAGTTTTTTGGAGTAGCTGGATTAAGTTAGTTGTTCAACCATCTACGTATCGAAGTTGCCCAACGCTTTGTGGCAATAACCTTAAACTGACTGCTTGTTTCTGGTATTAGAAGAGGAAAGGTCTGGCTAGATGTCTGGGGAAAAGGACCGTACTTACCTCCAAGCTAGAATGCTTCTTCTTCTCTCAGTTAACTGCCAATTTCTCCAAAACCAATAGTTCCATGTATCTCGTTGGAGTGACAGTAACAGTTACTGTGGATGGGGTAATGAGCACCTAACTCTCATTCCATCATCTGATCAGCACCAAGGTGGTGCCATCATCTTAGCCTGACGAATGACATGGGCAATCTTGTCCAAGGATACAAAGCTGGAAAAAGACTACAAAGACCAAGGTTCCTTTCTCCCATATTGAATCCCTCTTGTCCTTATGGTTACTATGTTCATTTGTGTCCAATTATTCTTAATAATCTTATCAATGTAGGCTGGTCAATCCAGTTTCCACAAGAGGAGAAGCCAAGAACAAACTAACTGCCTGTCAAGGAGCAAGAGACCCAGACTTCTTCAGGTTTATGCATCACAAGGAAACAGACATTTTTAAAATGTGTGTGTGCAAGTGTGTATATACATGCATGTGCAAGTGTACAAGCACAGGTGTGTACATACATGTGAGGACAAGAGGTCCACCCTGGGTGTTGTTCCTCAGGAACCATCTACTTTGTGTTTTAAGAGAGTATCTCACTGGGACCTGGGATCACTACTGTGATTAGACCAGCTGGTCAGTGAGCTCCAGAGACCCCTGTCTCCATCTTCTCCATTCCGGGACTACAAGTGTGTACCATCATGCCTGGCTATTTAACATGAGTTCCAAATATTGAACTCAGGTCAGTTAATAAAGTATCACCCCAGCCCCTGGGGACAGTTTTAAACTACCTTCCACTTCCATCTTAGCTTGAGAAACAAGTCACCGTATTTTAATTAAACTGATAACAGCAATATGCTCCAAGGTTACACATATTAGTAGCAACACATTGTGATGATTCTGTATTAATGGAGTGTGTCTGCTCTTCACCAGATGTTATCATTTCCAAGCCACTAGATAGATGCTCTTTTTAAAACAGAGGGAAAATAGTGTCCTCAGCACAACTGGCTTGTATTCCAAGTCAATCATGCTTTAGAGATATCATAAAGATGTAGGAGTGTAGCTGATGGTTTGAGAATTAGACCGAGTATTTGGCAGTGGACTGAGAGGGTAGGATAGTAAGCATAGGACCCAGGCTCTCATGCGTGCTAAGCAGGCATTCTACCAATAGGCTGTATTCCCAGGACCTGGAATTCTCTTCAGGATTACCTATGCTAGTAGCCAATGACTATGACTTATAAACTATGTCACAGCACCTTTAAATGATTTATAATGTAAAGATAACAGTGCATAGACACAGTAGTGAAGCTACATAGATGGGAGGACATTTTCTTACAGTTCACAGATTAAATCTAATCCACAAATGTGCAATCTTGTTGTTGATAATGTAAGTTTTAAAACAAGGTTTTGTCATTGTTTTTTAAAGCCCAACAATTGCCCGGCATGGTGGTGCATGCCTTTGATCCCAGCAGGTAAAGAATACACACACACAATCCAAGGATTCTAAATGAAATTGAAAGTTTATTAAAGGAATGTAGGCCATCCTGCAATGGAAGTGACCTTTCAGGGTATAAGCCTCTGAAGTAGTGGGACAAATTGAAAGTCTTGAAGAACACAAGCTCTCTCATTCCTTAACAAAAAAAATCTCAAGATGGACTGAAGGCACCAGCATTCCCCCAAATCACCGCTGAGCACAAAATATTTTCCTCAAGACAACCGAAACAACAGTCAAAATACTCTGCAGTCAATTTCAAACTTCCATGGACTAAATACAATAATAATAATAATAATAATAGATACTATAGTAAAATTTAAAGTGGAAAAACAAAACGTTAAGAAAGGTCAGTAGCTTTTTAAAGTCTCCTATCTAAAATGCATAAAACATGGAAAATGCAAACATAATTTACATAAAAATCAGGAAAAATAAGCATGGAAAAAATATCCAACCATCTAAAAAGCAGTAATTGCAACAATTAAATCAAACTGGACTAGGGGTGTGGCCAGCGGTAGAGTGTTTGCACAACACACAGGTGGTCCTGGTTCTGATGTTAACACCAGAAAGAAAGAAAACAAAACAGGAAAAACCAATTACACAGCACGGTTGGCGAAGCTATGCATATCTGGAGCCTAGCGGCACCTTGGCCCTCTGGTGGCACCGAGGCGGTTTCTGCCCCTTTCTAAGGGTCATTCCAGACACCAATGAAGTGTTCCAGCCGTTGACCTGGCAGCAGCACCCATGGCACTGTTTACCGCAATGATCCAAAAATGGTACATTTCTGAAAGGACTTTATTTTACTGCAGCAATATTTATCATATCTAATGAAGTATAATCATAAAACAACTAACAGTTTGGGAGTAGTAAATTATAATAAAAGAAGCAATAGACTGTTGAAGTTAATAAATAGATTTTAAAAATTAATATTCAAGGTATGTTTTTGTTTTTTGTTTTTTCAAGACAGGGTTTCTCTGTGTAGCCCAGGATGTCCTGGAACTTGCTCTGTAGACAAGGCTGGTCTCAGACTCAGATATCTGACTGCCTCTACCTCCTGACTGCTAGGATTAAAGGTGTGAACCATCACTTCCTGGGGGAGAGTATTATTTTAGAAAAGACTTGTTTAAAAAAAAAACATAGTGTATACTTACTTACCACTTAGAAAATATATATGCCAATGTTCTTAGTTCAGATGAGAAAAGAGAATTTTAAAGTAATTGTATGGGACCAATCATGGTAGCTCATACCTATAATTCCAACACTCAGGAGACTGAGGCAGGAGGATTTCCATGAATGCACTGCCAGTTTGAACTACATAGTGGGTTCCAAGCCAGCCTATGCTACAAAATGGAACTATTTCAAAAATAAAGTATTTGTTTTCTATTAAAAGGATATAGTAATCTCAAATCAACCTGCTTATACAGCTCCTCATGGGGTTGGGGCCTCATGAGTTCTTCACTTACCCATGACGGGATGTTGATGGACTCAGTATTATACAGGTTAGCATCACTGCCACGCCATGTACAGACACAGACTTTCACAACACTCCTCTCCATTCTCGGGCCCTTACATTGTTTTCCATTTCCCCTTTTGTTATGTCTTTAGAGATTTGAGAGGGTGATAAAGATATCCTAGTTAGGGCTGAACATTCAGTGTTCTAAGCACATTGACCAATTTTGGTTCTGTATTAACCAGCACCTACTACAAGCAGAAACTTCCTGGACCAAGGTTGAAAATCAAAACTATAAATATTAAGATGACAGTTTATCAACATGCCCACTTAGCAGAACAGCACAGTGGATGCCCTCCTATGATTTACAATGGCGCAGTCACAGGTTTTTGACCAAGTTTACAGTACCAAACATTATTCTTGTGCAGACAGCTTCAAGTCCACTTAGAAAACAGTTACTCCCATAATGTTCATGCCATTGTTGCACCAATGGGCACATCTTACCTAGCAGATCAGTACTACAGCATTCAGGCTCTAGTTCTTTCTCTCGCTCAGTGGCCTGCATAGCACCTTCTAGAACTATCGAAGCTAGTCAGCAAGGAGTGAGCTTCCAGTTCAGCTTCAATTTGATTTCTCTATATCCTGAAACCAAAGTGTGTGGCATTTGACAATAGGGTCTTATCACCTAATTCTGATGAGCAACCAAGAGCAATGGCAATAACCTGTATTTTCAGGGAGGACTTTGTGGTTCCCTTTACCAACAACTCAAAGGAATGTATCCCACTTCTGACACTGGGATTTTTATATCCAAGCTTATGGCTTCTGATAGCAGCATTATCCATCCATGTTGTGAAGTTTGCTTTTAATGTGTTCACTGTATATTTGGGGATACCCAGATAGTCTGAGTAGGGAATTGAAGAATGAAGTCCTTAATTTTTGGTGGTCATTTGTATATCATTGGCATTTGAAGTCATAAATCTGTATAAAAGAATAAGAATAGCAAAGAAAGGAAATTGTGCTATAAATTACAGTCAGAAAGATGAAGATTGACAATGGGGACTGAAGAGGAAGCAAGGGAGAGAAGTACCCCCAAAACTAAGTGAAAAATATCAAAACAGATAACAAATAAGGCGACTCACGGTGACTGAAGCAGCTGGACAATAACCTGACTAGAGTGGGTCCCAGTCAGCATGAGCGGAGAATAACTGGGAACAGTGGATACCGACAACTCTGTAGAGAACCAGGGGTGTGAGCTAGGGTGCTTGCTGTGTGCTGTAGAGAGCCTGTGGATGGGAAGAAGGATTAGTTGCATGGAAGCGTCATTAACATACAAGGTTCAAATGAGGAGTGAAATACTTTCATAGCGTTCCTTGCTGGAGGCTTGGAAGTTACTTACATACCCAACCAGTCACCAGCTGTTCCAAGTGCCCCCATATAAACAAGATTCAAAACAGAGTTTGGGCTCCAACAAAATCAGTGGTCTTGGTCTCTGCATTTCCTGGAAGCATCAATGGTCTGGGCAGACACCACACATTTGGTGATTACAGGTTTCTCTCTCTATCTGGATCAGTTTGTTCTTAAAAATGTGAGGACCAGTGTTTGCAAATGGCGGCAGCCTTTGCATTAATCTCATAGGAAAACACAAACTATATTCCCGCTTAATTCAAAAGAAGAATTGCATTTCCTAACTATCACGGAAATACTATTGGGTATCTATGCATGTACATTCCTAGCACACAATGTGTGGACTGTGGTATCACAATCCACCAAGGACGACTGCATAATCTGAAGCTTTAACATCCGCTATTTATGTATTGTTTTATTTTTCATCTTGTACACTAAAAATATACTGGGAGTTATATATGTTAAACAAGTGCTCTACTGCTGGGGTGCAGGTGCGAAACAAATGTGTATCATGTTTAAAAGAACATGGCTGATCTCGTTTGTTTTTCATTGCTGTGATCAAACACTGACCAAAACCAAATTAGGGGAGAAAAGGGTTTAATTCATGGCACTGAGGGAAGTCCGAGCAGGAACTCACACAGAAGCAGAGGCAGGGAACACACAGTGAAGTTGCTCACTGGTCTGTTCTCCATGGCTTGCTCAACTCGCTTTCCTACACAACCCACGTGCCCAGCTGCAGCACCACGCATAGTCAATCATTAATTAAGAGCGGCCTCCATAGACTTGCCCACAGGCCAATATAGTGGAGGCAATTCCTCAATTGAGGTTCCATCAAGTACCTCTACTTTGTATCAAATTGATAAAAGCTAACAAGCACAATGGCCCCAGAGAAAGAGGCTGACTTACAGCTTCAGCTTTAGGTCTTATCACTCAGACACAACGTTCAGGCTGACGGTCACAGGAACTATAGTGGGTTTTCAATTCCAATGCTAGGGTTCTTTTTTTAATAAAAAATTTGGCAGGTTGCTATAGAGAAAGCATAGTGAGAAATCAGATACCAGAGGATACCTGCAAGAGAGATTAATAAAAAGCACAGATATCACCCTGTAGCTGCAGCCTGGTTCCCCCACATATTAGTGTGTTAGGTTTGGAGAGACATAATTAATGTAAAATGGAGGTAATTAATACTTAAAAGGGTATTAAAGATTATCATATCAATATACACAAATAGGCTTTAGCATGCCTATTAAATCTAGTTTGAAAATGAATACAGAGTACAGTCAAGGTTACACAGTGAAACAGTGAAAATAAAAAAGTAAGTAAATAAATAAAATAAATATACGGAACTGGAAAGATGGCTTGAGTAGTTAAGAACAAGTGTTGTTCTTCCAGAGGACCCAGGTTCAAGTCCCAGCATCTATGTGGAAGTGAACAACTGCCTTTAACTCCACTTCAGGGGATCCAACACCCTCTTCTGGCTCCCATGGACACTTGCATGTGTTGTACAGACATACATGCAGGCAAAACGCTCACATATATAAAACAACATAAAATCAAATAAAAATCTTTTGTTAGCATAGTATTGTGTAGGTATAAAGGAAGTTTAAATAAAGAAATGCATACGCTCAAGATAGTTTATTATTAATATTGGGATAATATGGGAAAAAATGAGATTTTGCCCATGTGTTTAATGGAAAAGTGTGAATTACATTTTTCCTTATCTTGGCAGTCCCTTATTTAAAAACGTGGCTCATTTAGAGTTTCTACTGAACATTTGATGACGTGAATGTTGAAACCCAACAGCAAATCCCCGTTTGCTCTCTATCTACAGCAGTAATATATTAAGCACTAACTAACTATCAGCAATAATGACACACCAGCCAAGATTTTAACATGTCACAAAAGAACTTTCCATGACATGTATCCTCATAAAGCTACAAAACTCCTCACAAAAAGCCAGCAAGCGAGGCTCCTTGTCCTTCTTCACAGCTGTCTCATTTTGGGGCCTGGTGCAACTGTCAATACCTCACTGGTTTATTTCCATAATGATTAAATTAAGTCATTAAACTGCAGGGTCCCGACATTCCCTGCCAGATCAAACTTCCAGGATTATTCTGTTCATGAGTTTTTCTCCTTAAATCTATTCCTTCTCAGCTCCTGTAAGAGGTTCTTTCTTTCTGTGAACAGTGAACTGCTTCACATATCCAACTGTTACAGTTCTTTATTTCTCCGCCTCTAAGAAAGGGAATAGCCCAGACTCAAAGCCTCTGGATGGCTCACAGGGATGACACACAGGGAGATCCATGTGTGCCGGCTGTGCTTAGCAGCAGCCTGAAGTCACTCGGGGTGTGTCCTTCGTGGGAGGGTAGAGAGGTGGTCACCCAGGGAGGAAAGGTCCTCAGCTAAAGTAAAACTGAGTCCAAAAGAGCCACCGACTACCGGGCTGCATGTGTCGTGACAAGGCCTCTCCTGTCTTACCCCAGACTTTGCAAATGGGCATCAAGCATTTCTCGGGACTCTTCGTGCTCCTCTGCGTTGGATTCGGTCTCTCCATCTTGACAACCATCGGTGAACACATAGTGTACAGACTGCTGCTGCCACGAATCAAAAACAAATCTAAGCTGCAATACTGGCTGCACACCAGTCAGGTGAGTTCTGCAGGAACCTTGTGCCAGGTGCTCCTGTATGTGAGGATTCCCAGCGAGGTAAAGACCCAGGTCAACTGACAAATGGCGAGAAACCCAGAGAGGGATGGCCAAGCACTCAGGGTCATAATGCCCTTTATCCCACTAACCCACTCACCCATAAACTGAGGACTCGCGGTGTCTCTTCCTTTCCTGAAACACTAGTGATGCCCACAGAAGACACAATATAACTGCTTCAAACCCAGTTTCACTTAACAAAGATCATCTGAAGAGGCGCTATGAAAAGTCCATTCCCCACAGATGCGTCCCTTACCAAAACTTTCCCTAGCGAAAGCTAGCAAGAGTCTAAGCTTCCATTTGCTTTTAGGTCTGTTTTTCTGTCAGTAGCTCTGAGGCTTGCTTGTGTGAGGCCATGTCTCACAGAAGTAAAGTCTTCTCTTATAAGACAGACACCAACAGCTAATTTACAAAGATAATTAAAGATCATGCAGACACACTCTTCTGCACAACTCAGCTGTTGTGAAACCAGTGTGTACATCCATCCTGCAGTCAGGGCATATAATCAGGATGGAGGAACTTTAGCATATCACCCGGCTTCATCTGAGCATGTAAGGTGGATGAGTCACCTCTCCTCCCTAGTGTGGGGTCTCTTCTGCATTCTGCATCCTGATACTCCATGACTTGCCTCACCTCTTGAAGTTGAGGCTGAATGTGTTTCTGATTTTGCCATTCACCCATTCTGTTACTCATTGCCTTGCTCTGCTTGTGTGGTTTTTTTTTATCATTCATTTTGTTTTTCTGTTTGTTTTCTAGATAGATAATTTTCTCACAGTTGAACCCCATTCTTCATACTTTCTGGGAAATCGTTGGTCTCCTTGGAGCCTGCAGACGAGTGATCTTCTCTGTTGTATGCTAATACAGTTAGATTCCCAGGAGACCCGCTTTCCTTCCTTGGATTGGTTGCTTTTGACTCAACTCTGACAACTGTACATACCACACAGGCGTTGTTGGTTGTCACTTGTTTGTATAACATAGCATTTTGCCAACCAAAGCACTTCTCTTCCTTCTAGAAACAATAACCTATAACTTAGAATCCTTGTTATCACATACCATTTCACCATCCAGAGCATTTCCCCTCCTTCTAGAAATAACAAGCTATAACTTAGAATCCTTGTTACCTTGTGATGTGTTACTGAATGTTGACCTAGTTTCATGCACGCCTGAAATTTTGGTTAAAGAAGCCATGGTTTGTAGCCACCAGATATGGTCTGTGAGACCCCAAGCAGGGATTTGTCCCCTGATACACACTTTCCAAATGATCTCTATGAATCTGTTCTTCCCACCAGAGATTGCACAGAGCATTAAACACATCATTTGTAGAAGAAAAGCAGCCGCGTTTCAAGACAAAGCGTGTGGAAAAGAGGTAAGAGGTCAAAGCTGTTGCTAAAGCCCTTGGTAAAATAAGAGTTTAGACATGTGATCACATGATAATACCCCATATTCAAAAAGGAAGTTACCTCTAAATAAGTATTCAGACCAAGTTTGAGAAATCTGTTGATAAACACAATCAATATAAATTATGGATTTTCAGTTATAATCAAACAAAACAGAAAATAAACAAATCAATGCACATAGACATAGATATACACTGAAATGCAACATAGGCAAAATATTGACAAGTTTAACACTGCAGGCATGGACTGCCATCCAAGACCAGTCCTATCTCCAACACTTAACAATGTGTTACCTGTGCCTCACACTCCTCATCTTTGGAACAGGAGAAAAATTAGCCACTCCCTAGAGTTGTTATAAGCTATAAATGAGATAGTAAGCTCAGTCCAGAAATCAAAGCAAATGTCTAATAAATACTAGCAAGCAGCATGTACCAAATGCGTAGAACTCCTGATTCATGAGTGCAACAGGCATTCATTTTTTTCCCCAACCTGGAATGCGTGTTTCAATTTCTCACCTCTCCAGCACTCCTGGAAAAATGCAAAACATGCTACAGAGATGCCCTACTAAGTCCACTTTCTGGCACTCTCATGACTCTTTAGGTAAGGTATTCACTAATAGGAAAAGAAATTAAATGCCTCAGAGGTCCACACCTTCACTACAGCCAGCCCACGGATGGCTGTGTCCTCATCCAAGGTGACTGAAGATGTCAGAAGCACTTAGGGTCTGCTGCTTATTGGCCTCCGCTGCAGCTGCCCGGGGCTGCCCTCCTGGATCTCTCGCATTCTCCGAGACCTCAGAGAGGGCGCTGGCTTTGAGAATTGGTGGCACATCATTAGCTCAAAGCTGGGATTTCTGGGAAGTTTAAAATCTGACACTAACACCTCTCATTTGTCCAGAAGGAAAATGGTATGCAGCAGGATTCTCGTCTAGCTTGGATCTCCTCTGTGGCTGCTCTAGTCCCTGCTCTCTGGGTTGTATCTAACTTGTCAGAATCATTCACAGTCACAGAATGACCCATCACCTGGCTGTCATTATGGTAGCCCCTTGTCACAGTGCAAGTCTGTTAGTGACATGCTACAGACTCCCCAGGTCACAGCTGCTCTCTCTGTTACCTTAGAGAGATTTTTTTTAAAAAAAAATAATTTTTTAATCAGAGGAACACAAGAAGACATAGCTATAAAATACTATCTTACAATTACAAAACATTGTTTTCCATGAATAGAAACAAGAAGCCCAGTGACCCTGCCCCTTTGATAGTTCTCTTATGCCTACCTCACCTAAGCTGAGAGCCAAATGTGTCTCTTCACTCAACTTACCCCCTTCTCTCGCAGACTCCCCTGCTTACTCTGACAAAGAGCTAAGACAGAATACATCTTCATCCTTGTGACCCAATTAACCCTCAACCTGTCACTAACAGGCTTGCCTTGTAGCATCACATAGGATATCACAGACCAACGGCGGGGCTGGGCGGGGGGTGCTGCTAGGAGCGCTCCATGATTGGAGAGACTTTAGGAGACGATGGAAATGATTCTGAGAAGCTGGCTATGGTCCAGAGAGATGGGACTCTAGCATTGGGGCTGCAAGCCATGACAAGGAGTCATGCTGTCCACCCTTTCCTTGTATTGCGAACAGCCCACGTTTCCTGTGGCAATTTCCCAACAACCCAGAGCCTGCAACCTTCCAAACTCCACATGCATTTGAAGTCTCCCAGTGATGTTATGAGTTCTGAACAGGCCAATGGCATACTGAGCTTCAATCTTACATACCGGCCCCGATGAAGTCTGTTTTGCCACATTTTATGTTGAAACACTTCTCATTCCATTGGTCATGTTCAACTTTTAAGACCAGAGAAGGCTTGACCAAAACAACCAAGCACGCACACACACACACACACACACACACACACACACACACACACGCACGCACACACACATTCTTTCTAGTAGGCACCTTATCTTCTAAAGCATCTACCACCTTGTATTCATAGGTATCCCAGAGCCACTCATCAACGATCACAGCACAGTGATGCTAGCAATTAGAGTACGTTACAAAGAAGTCCAGCTTTTCTTATTGTTCTGTTTATCCCCACATGGATGCTCCAAGACTTGGATAACCAGACTGCCCATCTCTAAGCATGTCCAAGACTGCCTTATCACTATGGCTACGGGCATAGTCTAATGAACTGAGCAGACAACTCCACTCGTAGTGTTTCCCCACTGTCAGTCATTCTATGGTACTAGAGTTAGGCTTCCTGACTTGGAGATAGCCTTTCTTTCCTCTCTTGCCAGAAAATGCAAATGTCCGTGCCATTTTGATGACCTCCTGCTCTATTCTCTGTATTTGCTGCATGAATTTGGAGGGCCAGGTGAATGAAAGACTAACACGAGACTAGTAGCTTGGAGAAATCCTAGGTCATAGTACTAAGTCAAATTTTAATGCGCATTAATGGATATTTCAAGAGAGTTTTTATCTGTGATTTATGGTTTACTCAATGTGAAAACTTAAAGGTCAGAAGGAAACAACTGTCTAATCATATCATCTCTAACAGTCTAAGATCAGGGAAGTGGCTGTAGGTAGAATCACTGTAGCACTTCCCCCCCCCCAGACCATAATACAGGAAAAGTGAGCTCTAGGGCTTTCTAGAGCCTCAACAAGGTAAGGAATGATCAGGAAGTTTGCAGAGCCTGTGTTAATGCCCTGGACAAGTTTGAGTCAGCTTCTGCTGTGTGAGCAGTCACCCCAATACTTACTACCAACAATGAATTTCTTACTCATCTATAGGTCAGCTGGGTCATGCATGTATCTATAGCCAGGTTGGGGAATGGGGGAAAAGCAGCTAAGGGCTGTCTGATCAATTGTCCTCTGCTGGGCCAACTAGGAAGTTTGTTAACTTTCTCCATATCTGCCACCCATCAACAGGTCAATGAGGACTCACATGGTATCTGGAGGAATTTAAGAATGACAATGTGCAGAGTCCTTAGAAGTTCAGTCTTGGAACCTCTCAACCTTCTTAGTACCCAAACCAAATAATGAGACCAGAGAAAAGGGGGTGGCTTTTGACTGTAAATTCCAGCACTTGGGAGATGGAAGCAAATGAATTACTATTGGCTCAAGACTAATGTGGACTATATAATGAGTTCCAGGCCAGCCTGGGCTACAGAATGAGACCTTGCTTCAAACAAACAATCTTATAAGCTAGACCTCATTGACCAAGGAAAGGGGCCGTGGAATGAAGGATTAAACCACCTTGGCAATCTACTTCTGAGCGAAGCAACACAGAATCATCCTATTAAGTCTTTGTGTTTTGTTCTCAACTGTGTAACTACTTCTAGAATTCATTTCCTCTCCCCTTGTCTCTCCAACTCCAGGGCCTCCGCTCTGACTCTCCCAGGCAATTAGGAGTTCAGGAGTAAAGTTGACTCAGTTTTATGGGAACAAAACACAGGGATTTAATAGAGGTTTCCTATTGTGCTGTACCACATGGTCATAATCTTCCTCCTCCTCCTCCTCTTCTTCCTCCTCATCCTCTTCTTCCTCCTCCTCTTCCTCCTTCTCTCCCTCCTCCTCCTCCTCCAGAGTGAAAGGAATTGGCTGTCACACTGCTTAGACTAAGCTGTTCTTACAGCGAGATACTCTTCTCATTGCACCCAACTGTCAAGGTGTATTTAGAAACTTGCCCAGTTTCCCTTCTCATACCCATCCAGCCTTCTACAGCCATGTGCCCATGATAGCGGCAAGTGATATATGTAAGCATGAAGGAACTGTACATCTATTCAGGTCATCACCACCTCAGCAAGGATCAAGGGTGTTCTTATTTTTGTTTGTTTTCAAGCATCAAGCTTGTCATTCTCGATCTACAAAACCACCCGTGTAGTGAGAAACACTAATACGCCTTTATTCTCCCCAAAGCCCAGTACAGCCTAGAAGGGATAAAAGTCAGCCATAAAATAACAAACCAGGGCTCAGAGTACTCCATCTGAACAAAGATTTCTCACTCTTATTAATCTCTGTAGCCATAGGATATCACCAGGCAGCACTGCTTTCTGCTTTCTGAGCACTGCTTGAAGGCAGGGTATGAAAATGTACCCAGGTGTGGGAAAGATGGCTCCGCAAGAGTGCTTGCTCTGCAAGCAAGAGGACCTGGCTGAAGCTCCATCACCCAAGTTAAAGCTCAACATGACTACATGTGCCTGTAACCCCAGCACTGGGGGATGGGACAGGTAGATTCTGAGATCTTGCTGGCTAGCCAGCTGAGCTAGAATGATAACTTTGTGGACCCTGTCTAAAGCAATACAGTAAAAGGTGATAGAGGAAAACACAGGATGTCTTGCTATGACCTCAACATGTGTTTATCCTTGCAGTGAGCCCATCCTCCTACATATTCGTATCTCTCTCTAGCTTCCTTTCTCATGCAAGCCTGTGTGCGCACACACGCGCACGTGCACGCACACACACACACACACACACACACACACACACAAACACACAGAGATACTTTAAATAATTCATAAGACAATATACCATCTCTCATTTCATCCGGAAGGCATCAATTCCTATGTTAAAGCAACATGAGGCCTGGTGAGACTCAACGCAGTTCATGGCTCCTGTTTTCCCCATGGTGCTCTAAGCAGGCAGTCTGCTCATGGCTTGGTGACTTCATTTCTGCAAACACAACTAGCTCTCTGTTGTTCACATAGGAGATGGAGAAGATGGGGTTGCAGGACAGAAGGGGACTCTGAATTGTCTCTGTTTCCTAGGTCCAACATGGGACCCCAGCAGCTCATGGTGTGGAATACTTCTAATCTGAGTCACGACAACCAACGGAAATACATCTTTAGTGATGAGGAAGGACAGAACCAGCTGGGCACCCAGGCCCACCAGGACATCCCTCTCCCTCCAAGGAGAAGAGAGCTCCCTGCCTCACTGACCACCAACGGGAAGGCAGACTCCCTCAACGTAGCTCGGAACTCGGTGATGCAGGAACTCTCCGAGTTGGAGAAGCAGATCCAAGTGATCCGTCAGGAGCTGCAGTTGGCCGTAAGCAGGAAGACGGAGCTGGAGGAGTACCAAAGGACAAACCGGACTTGCGAATCCTAGGCAGTGCCACTGCTCCCCTTCCTGAGCCCTCGGGATTCTGAAGCCCCGAGGCACTTTGTAAAGCTCTTTTGTATGGACTGACAAAGGTGTGGGGTCTGGTAGTGAAGTGTGCTGTTCTCGGCCTAACATGCAGCAGCAGCGGCAATTCCCACACATGCCCCCCAGGTCTCCAGGGTAGGAATCTTTTCCATAGTAGGAGCCTAGAGTTAGTCAGGGTTAAAGTCTGCACACGGGATCGGTGAGCGGCCAGAGAACTCTGGCTCCTGTCAGCCTTTTCACCTGGTGCCACAATAATCTTTCCGGGTTTTAGCCCTTTCTCTGCACTTCAACAAGAGATAAAAATTGTTGCGCATACCTGTGTCTTACTGGGTTGGTTTTTGATATTATTACAAAATAGAATTGCCCAGGTTTGCAGGTTTGATACAACTTCCCAATCTAGATTTGATCTTACCTTCTGAAAAAGCAGGTTAGGAGCCAGGAAAACTGGGGCAGAGCAGATACATTAATTAATAAAAAAAAATTGAACAGAGCTCAGAATTACAAGCAAGAGATGAGTGGCTAATTTAGCACCACATGTTCAAGCAGTTCTGGATCTCTGAGCCCTTCCCAGCTAACGTGTAGTAGAAACATGTTGACACACCACTCTGAAAGGGAAAGAGAAGCAGGGAGTGGGAGCAGAGGGCAGGCAGATGGGGAATTAACAGTGCACAAGGTGTGTTTAAAATAAAGCTCTGGGCCAGAAAGGCAATTTGGCTAAAGAATGTGTTGCACTATACTTCTAATGTAACTAAGCGTCCCCACCATAACGTGTGCCTTTTATAAAGGAGAGAGAAGCAGAGCAAGGTTACATCCTTAGCAGGAACCTGTGCTACCCCCTAGTTAATGCCTGTGACAGGGTCTAGGAGCCGACACTCTTAAAGGAAATATTCTGCACACCTCACAAGAAGCTGTTTTCAGATCAGTGGTTACCTCTCTTAGCCTGAGGAACTCCAGAAGCCACAAGGGGTTTGTGAACATCACAAATGTCAAATACTGGAGTCTGCTCTGCTTCAGCATCTCCCATGCTTACACTTCCTGGTCTCTTATGAACTAAGGTCAGTTTGAGTCCAGTTCTCCTCCTGTCTCCATATAATGCCCTCACGAGTGGAAATAATTAACTTAGCATCCCCTCTGTTTAGGCATCACTTTCTGGTCACACGATTGCTTGGCATGCAGAAAGCGAAGAACCATGAGATCTCTAGACTTCCTATCCGTTCCCAAATGATAGCTAGCCAGGCAATCATCTAAGGCCCGCATCAGACTGCCGCTTGTGAGGAGCTATGTTGGGAGGGCCTACTGGTGGGCTCAGAACCCTTACGCTAGCCAGCGCCCCAGGACACACAGTCCTAAAGTTACTCCCAGAGAAGCACTGCTCTGGAAGCTTGGCTACCTCCAGCGCATGAGAAGGAAGAGCCTGTCTCCTTTTTTTTTTTTTCATTCTTATTGATGGTTTCCTTATTCCCACCTTAACACCAGGGTTCCATTTAGAAGTAGACTTTCCTGTTGATCAACGTTGCTTCATCTTCTCTGTACTTGCTTGTTCAGTTAAAGTCTACAATGAACGCACAACACTGTGCAAGAAGTGTTAAGATTGTTAAATGGGGCTTCCATCATAAAACTCCTCCCACTTTGGGAAACAATGTCTGCGCCCCACCAAGAGCTACACTGATCCCTAGATGGAGATAGTGCCCTAAGTTGTAATCAGAACACCTGAACAGTGAGTTATACGGCTAGGTAAATCTAGGAGTGCAAGTAAGCTCAGATATTCAAGAGGCAGGGGGGTTGTAAAAACAGATGGCAGCCTCCAAGATTAAACATTCCAAATGAGGGAGAAATATGCCCGGAAACAGAAGAGGACAACTTGCTTTACAATGCCCTCATCCCTTCCTGCACTCTCCCCGCAGCGGGCCTCAGCTGTTTGGCAGGTTCCACCCCTCAGCAATTCCCACCTATCTGTTAATACCCTGGGGCCACTGCTCTGAGCATCCCTGGATACTTGCTCAGCCGCAAGGCTGATGCACAGTGTACCTCAATTCACATGACAACCATGCTCCTGTGGTACACGGACATTTGTGCAGCAACTCAGATTCTGACTCCATTTGAGAGGCTGGCTATGTAAGGGAACACAGAGGTGAATTCTTTTGTAAAGAATCCTTTTGTAATGCAACCAATTCTCCCTTAATGTATCTGTTTTGTAAGTTTGGATTTTTGTATATCTGCTTTATCTTAAGCTTCTCTACTGAGGCATTCTGAGTAGTGGTGATCGCATTGCAGAGCATCCTGCCTACCCACAGAGCAGAGAACCAGTGCACTTGTCCAATAACTTGGCCAGGATGCAACAAGGGGCAACAGGAGTGAAGGAGGCTTACTGCTGTCAGCACTGCTTAAAATGCTTTCAATGTCCTGAGTGAAGAAAACACATAATTGCTTGTGAAGCAGTTTTCATGGTAAATAGCAAAATTTTTAATGGTAGTAATTGAAGTGTTTTGCAATCTGTGAAACAGTGCTGTGTTTTGTACAAAGATTTCACGAAAGGGAGAGTCCTTCCAAACCTTCCTTCTGCTCTGCCTCCCTCAGTTCCCTCACCTACCCCTCGGGCTCACAGAGGAAAGCTTTCAGGGGCACAAACCTTCCTTCTGCTCTGCCTCCCTCAGTTCCCTCACCTACCCCTCGGGCTCACAGACGAAAGCTTTCAGGGGCACGGCTGTTGGAATGAGCTGGGGGACTCAGCCTTGCCACCTGAACTCCCGTTCATGAGGTCAGGGATCCTCTTTGCCCACCCAGGCTCTTGTACTGGGAAACCTGGAATATGGTCAACTGTCCCACATTCCAAGAGGATGTGGCCCATTCTCCAAGGTGGCCTGGCATGGGAAGCACACAAAGCATGACTGGCTAAGCTGGTTTGTTTGACTAAGGGTTCCACAGTGCATCTGTCACAAGGGAAGAGTGTTCTTCCAACGATAAAAACAAGTTAGAGCAGCTGGGACAGCCAAGGAGGCAGCCACACAGACACAAGAAGGCAGGTTCTGTAGTGGACCATGATTTCCTATTATATGTAAGATCTGCACAAACCCTATTCAGGAATGGCTGCTTCCCTTCCCGCTGAGAAATGGTACGTGGAGCCATGCAGACCAGAACTGCATCATTGGGATAACTCCCCTCTTTGGTGTTGGATCTGCTAGAGCCTTGGGGCATAGTTGAGCACCCCTTTGTGTGGATCAAGAAAGGAAAAGAAGCTACTTTACAGTTTCTTCTCCTCTCGTCTCATCTTTGGAAAGGCAACCCTGAAAATCCACTCAGTCTTCAGCAGAAATTGCTTTTCTAGTCATTAAAACCACTAAACCACCTACATTGTTTTGTTCTGCCTTTCCCCCACCCCACTCTCCCACTCCTGTCAAACACATCCTATCTAGGAACTCCCACACTCTCTTTCATTTCGTTGCCAATCATTTTATGAAAATGAAGTGCTTCTAAGTATTTCTTAAGGTCTGTGAAGAGTATTTGCTCTGCGTCTTCATTACAGTGTGTGTGCAACCGCTCCGCTCCAAGAACTGAAATGCTGTCTTGTGAGCATGACGTCAACAGGCTGTTTTGCTCCAGCCAATTTTCTTGTACAACCACGGGGATGGACCAGATGTCCTCGGGTCTTTTCCATCTTCAGTTTCTATGACTGTGGAATAAATGTTCAGATAGAAACTTCACTTTCGGTCGTGTTGCTGGCACTTGGGCGGGGAAGGGGGGATTCAAAGACTGGTGAGACACCAGTCCCTTCTCACAGGACTCCAAGTAATGCAAGACTTAGGTGACATAAGCATTCTAGTCCATAGCAGCACATGATATGCTGAGAGAATGGGCATTTAGGAAGCAGAAACATCTTTATATGAGAAAGACATTGCAGGGAAAATTTAAAGAAATAAACAAACAATTTTTTTTAAAAATAAAACAAAACACACATCTTCCTCTAGTAATTCAACAAGCACGGCTAAAACACAGCAATAGAAAGGGCAGGTATTGTCTTAGCCTTGGGGGACCTTCTCTCTTTCCAGGACTTATAAGACATGGGCTCATTTAACCATGTGATCAGATTATAATCATCTGATACTAAATACTTCCGATGTAGTGTAGAATAATTAAATACTACTTTACAGGCGAGAAAAAAAACAAGTCAGAGAGACTTTGTGATCAGACCAGATCACACAGCAAGCAACAGCAGCAGAGGTGAGTGTGCAAACAGCACAACCACAATGCAGCACCGTTAGCACTTTGGTCGGTGCCTGCGCCTCCCTCCTCAGTGCCCCTAATCTGTCTTACTCTGACCCAAACCTCGGCCTTGACCACCAGCTCTCTAGAGCAGAGGGATGCTGAAATGACAACTGCACTTGCATTGGTCCAGCAGACTCAAGACTGTAGCCACCCAAGCCTCACAAAAATAGTCCATCTGCCTTTGCTCGGCTTTCTAAGGCCTGTCAAGCATTGGTACCAACAGTTTCAAACCACTCAGCAACCCTACAGGCATGCAGGCAGTTTCCGGCAGTCCAAGCCATTTCAGCAGCTTGCAAACTTGCCTTCATGAATCTTCTAGCCTGACATAGTCTTGACATACATTCTTTTGAAATATAACCAAATCGAATATCATAAAGTATAAGCTTACCATAACACAATAAAATTGCCAACTTCCCCAAGATGTTTTGCATCATTCATCTGTTCATTCTGGGGTCCAAGTATGTGGACAAGCTGTTGGAGACAGCAAGGTAACAGAGATTCTGAACTCAGGGACCCATAGGGCTCAATCTAGTTGTGTAGAGAGCTACAATCTAGCAACACGATGTGCTGTGTATTAGGATAAAGGGATGCACATCAGGGCCAGAGAGATGAGGTACTGGGTAAAGTGACTGAGGTATGTGCATGAGAATCTGAGTTCAGATCCCCAGAACAGATGGAAACACCAGATGGAGTAGCAGGGATCTGTAATCCCAATGCTCCTATGGCAAGATGGAAGGCAGGCACAGGAGACTCTCTGGAAGCTGATATGCCAGCTAGCCTTGAAAACACATAAGAAAACAAGACCTGTCTCAAACAAGGTGGAGGGCCAGAACTGACACCTGCTGTCCTCTAACCTCCACACACATGCAGTATCAAACACACACACACATATATACACATGTACTCATCATACACATATTTACACAAAACAAAATTTTAAATGCACATCAAGTCTTACAGCAGCAAAGATGATACCTGCTGCACATGCATGTCATAAAGTAAACTTTCCATCATAAATATTCGAAATTTGAAGAGTTTACTCCAATATATAAAGAAAAGCACTTTGAAAGAGAGAGAAAATAAGGCTTCCATTTACACACGTGTATGATAACAGACTTCTGAACAGCTGGCAGAAAAGCAAGAGAGGTGAATTGTTCAGACAACTTTACTGAGCACCTTGTGCCTCTGCTACATGTTGGGGATTAAGGTGTTAAGACATTGCCCTTTCTAAATCCAAATCTCAATAATAAATGTGAAACAGGTTATAAGACCTTAACAGCTAATGTCAGGAAGGGACCAAAGTTGAACAGAAATCCTTGGAAGGTAAAGCTAAGCTTTATTTATCACGGGACAAATAGTATTCCAAACATTTAAGATCTAAATATGTTCTTTCCACACCAAGGGTTTTCTTCACTGTGTGAATTCAATTCAACATACACAGAAACCAAGTTTCTTTGGTTCCTACTTACACGAGTCAATTATTTTATTTTGAATTTTTTATTCATTTTACATACCAACCATAGTTTCCCCTCCCTCCTCTCCTTCCAAACCCCCAATCCACCCTCTAGCCACTCTTCCCAATGGGGTAAGGCCTCCCATGGAGAATCAACAAAGCCTGATACAATCAGCAATCAGTAGAGGCAGAACAAGCCCCTCCCCCCAACCCCTGCATCAAGGCTGAGCATGGCATCTCAGTACAGGGAATCGGCTCCGAAAAGCAGGTTTAAGCACCAGGGATAGATTCTGGTCCCACTGCCAGGGGCCCTACAAGCAGACCAAGTCATACAACTGTCATCCACATGCAGAGAGCCAAGGTGGGTACCATGAAGGCTCCCTAGCTATCCATCTGGAGTCCGTGAGTTCCCAGGAGCTCATTAGCTGTCTGTGGATTTCCCTGTCATGATCTTGACCTTGTTCATATAATCCCTCCTTCTTCTCTTCAACTAGACTCCCTGAGCTTGGCCTAGTGCTTGGCTGCAGATCTCTGTTTTAACTTCCATCAGTTATCGGATGAAGGTTCTATGACAGTTAGGGTAGTCACCAATCTGAATACAGGGAAGGCCAAGTCAGGCACCCTTTCTCCACCATTTCTGGGAGTCTCAGTAACTAATTGCCTTAGTTACTTTTCTATTGCTGTGATAAAACAACAGGATCAAGGCAACTTTCAAAAAAAAAAAAAAAAGCACTGAATTTGGGGCACATGGTTCAAGAAGGTTAGAAGCTATTATGATCACAATGTGGAGGAAGGCAGGAAGCAAATATGGTACCGGAACAGTGACTGAGAGCTCACTTCTCAATTCATAAGCATGGCAGAAAACTAACTAAAAATGGCAGGGGCCTCAAAGTTCAACCCAAGTGACATTCCTCCCCCAGAAGGCCACATATCTCCTAATTCTTCCCCAAAATTCCACCAACTGGGAACTCAAATAATAGAAGTCTATGAGGGTCATTCTCATTCATACCATTACAGAAGTCAAAGTATTTCTTTAGACCCACTGAGAGCTGTGTTTATCAACCAACTGGTTATCTTCAGGAAAAGCAAACAGCCCAAGAAAAAAATCTTGAACAAAATGTAAAGGCATTCCAAACAACAAATGACAATGGGGATGAGACTAATACATCACTTCCAACAATAATAAACATTACCATCCCAGTAGGTCTAAATGACAAATAATTACTTTATTGTCTTGACACTATCAAGTCACGGATCACTCCACTGGTATGCACACTATTCTGCAAGTACAGCACTCCTCTGTCCTTGGAGGGCAAGGACAGCTAGTGCTCTGCACAGAGAATAAAGAAACACAAAGAACCCAACAGAAATTCCTGAAGAATAGAAGAGCTAGCAGAAACAGCTCAGTGCCTTTGTAAACGATCCCTGTGAGTAGAGATAAACCATATACGCCTCCGACTGAGCATGCCTGATTTGTCCACATCACTAAAATGTTTCTAATAGGAAGCAGGGGGAAAGAGATGGAACAGAGGGAGGAAGGGGGAGAGGGAGGGACTGAGGGGAGACAAGAGGAAAAAAGAAAGAACTCTCTTCAATATCTGCAACACTTTCTACTTTAAATTGAGAAGCTTTGCCATAAAGAAACTACCTTGTAATCTCTGAATTTAGAGCTGTTACTTCTAACTTTATTAGGAATGTCAAGTTTTGAAATTCCTCTGAGGATCTGAACAGCTGTTAAGTCATGTACTTAAAACCAAAACAAAATGTGACATGAAATTCAGATATAGTATTGAAATCTATTCACAACCTTCCAAACAAGGAAAGGAAAAAAAAAAAAAACAAACAAAAAACACTTTTGAACATTTCCTAAAGA